GGGGGGGGGGGGGCGAGGGAACAAGGACATGTATCTCTTCGTGACCGTGACGCGGTCACGCAGAGGTGTGCCTGTGTGTGTGTGTGCGCGCGCGCGCGGAGGAAGTGTGGCGAGGAAGAGGGCGGAGATTTCTCTGCCTGTGCCCCGGGCGACAGGGGCAGAGAGAAAAGCACACACACACACACACACACACACACGCACACGTACAGAAAGAGAGGCCGCGGTCCGGTTGGCGGCCTCAGTGTGAAGAAAGATGCGGCAGGGAGGGCGCCGCGCCGTTGAGCGCCAGGGATTGCTCGATGTCGAGCGGGGTGTACAGCTTCCACACCAGGGGGTTGGGAACATGTCGAAGGATGTCATCCGACACATAGTCCTCTTGGCGCATGCGCAGGAGGCACTTGAAGGGGATGGTAGGGGCGAACCAGGCCTGGGCGAGGCAGGAGCTGGCCGGCTGCTGCGAGGCGGTGGATTGCCCGCCAGGCAGGGAGATCTGGGGGAAGTGGTGGATGATGCGGTCGCGGACGATCTGCCAAGCGTCGTCCGCCCGGTGAAGGTCCAGCGCACGAAGGAGCCGGTGGATGTGATGCTGGATGCCGGTGTGGAAGAACTTGATGTAGGCCTGTGGAAGGAAGGGGCAAGGAGGGAAGCGCGGGAGGAGGGGGTAAGTACCTCGGCAGGGAGGGAGGACGCCATGGGCCAGCGCGCTGCCGCCAGGGCCGAAAGAAGGGGCCGAGAGGGGGCCAAGAGAAAAAAAAAGCAGCGAAGGCGAAAGGAGGAGGCAGAAGGAAGACGCACCTCTTCCAGGGTGAAGGCCTCGGTCATGGAGCCGGGCTTCAGGCGGATGTCAATGCCGGTGGTGGCACGGACCGTGTCCAGGTGGACCTTGACGCCGCCGAAGTCGCGGACCACGAAGCCGGCCGGCCACCAGGCAGGCTGCCCATCGGCATCGGTGGTGTCGCCGGTGCGCTGCACCCGGAGCATGGTATTTTGCCCGTGGGCCTCGAAGCCGAAGCCATGGTCACGCAGCGGCGGCAGGAAGGAGTCCAGGAAGAGGTGGACATACTGGCGGAAGAAGTCCAGGCGCCGGGCCGCCGGGGCATCGGTGAGGTGGAAGGCCCGCAGGACATTCGGCACGCCATCCGGCCCGCGCTCCACCAGGGAGGCACAGACGATGGTGTTGCTGCCGGCCGGGCAGAGGGACAGCGGGTCGGGCCGGGCCAGGCAGGCCATGTGCCGGGCCACCGTGGGGTCCGGGTGGGCCGAGCCGATGCTGATGCTCTCCGGCACGACGATGAGGCTGGCGGGGGCGATGCGCAGGGCCACCTCGGCAAAGACAATGCCATTGAAGACACTGAAGGGGGACACCGTGCGCAGGGCACTGGTTGTCTGGACGCCCAGGGCGAACTTCAGGTGGAAGGCCGGAGCCCCCGGGCCCGAGAGGGCCACACTGCGGAGGGAGGTTTGCGCCATGGCCCGGTGTTCCGGGGCCGGGGGCCGGTCCAGGAGAATGGCATCGGCAAAGCGGGCCGCGATGTTGGGCCACTGGCCGGGATGGATGGGGACCACCTTCTTGGTGGCGGGGTCCGAAGCCGGGGGGAGCCACTCGGCGAAGACTTGGGAAAAGTTGCCATACTCGACGACCGCCTCGTGGGGGACTTCGATGAAGGCGATGTCCACCAGTCCGCCGAGCTCGGCGGCCCATTGGATGGCCTGCTGGTCATCGAGGCCGAAGCGGGTCCGATGCATCTGGGCAGGAGGGGAGGAGGGCGGGGATGTTAGCCGGGTGGCTGGCCGTATGCAAGTGGGCGAAGGGGATGGACATGGGGCGGGGAGGCGGGGCAGCTGGCCGGGGCGGTTGCATGGCGTACTGGGTGCGTGGCGTGGCCCTCGATGATGGCCTTCTCCCAGGCAATGGGCGGGTCGCCGGGGGTCGGGGCGGCGAGGGCATGGACGTCGCGCCAGGCCAGGGCCATGGCCTGGTTGCGGACCGAGGACTCCAGCTCATTGAGGATGAGCTGGTGAATGTCGTCCGGGAAGATGGTGGCATCGTCGTCGGCGCGAATGTGCGGCGCCGCCAGGCGGTAGATGTCCACCGGGGAGGTGATGAGCTGGCCGCGGTGGAAGGCACCGCCGATGGGCAGGAGGTCGTCCGGGTCGACGGAGCGCACGGGGAAGCCGGCCGGGAAGGTGCTATCCAGGATGTCGGCGGCCACCGCCACCAGGAGCGCGTCGGTCGAGGCATCGACCGCGGCGGCGCAGATCCCGGCCAGGTAGGCGGTCGGGCCATGGGCGGTGGGGGTGTAGCCGGGGGGTGGCGATGTGCCGGGGGAGTCGGAATACTCGATCGGGGGGGTGGTGGCACAGCGGGCGGGCTCGGCATCGTGCGGCGCGCCGAAGGTGGGCTCCAGCACCTGCCGCGGGGCCAGGGGCAGAGCCAGCCAGCGGAGGGTGCCCGGCAGGGCGGGCCCGGCGTCCGGGGTGCCGGGGAAGAGGGTTACCGGGTTGGCGGGCACACGGGGGTCGCTTTGCGCCAGGGCGAAGCAGCTGAGGAGGCCTTCACTGATGAGGGCACTGAGCAGACGCCGGCCGGTGGCCCATTTGGCATTGGCCAGATGGGTGGCGGAAATGCAGTCCGCGCTGAAGGGGGCGGACTCGGAGGACATGGTATTTCCTGGTGGAGAGGGGCGGTGGGGGGAGGTTAGATGGAGGCGAGGGTGCGCGCATACATGCATATGCATGTGTGCAGGAGGGGGCAAGGGCGGAGCAGCAGGATGCGGGGAGGGGCGGAGAGGGGAGGGGGGGGGGGACATACGTGGACCGGTTGGCGAAAGAGGCAGAGGGGGGGGGGCTGAATCCTGAGGCGAGGAGGGGACACCAGCCAGGAAGTGTTGGGAGAGAAAGAGAGAGAGCAAGGGGAGGAGTGGGCGGCTGTGTGGTGGCTGGTCGACCGGTGTCTGGGGGTGCCCGGTGCGCCTCGGGATATACCCCCCCCCTCTCTCTCTCTCTCTCTCTCTCGCCCTCGGGCCCGCCTCCGCTCGCCCAAGCCCTCCATCGCCGCGGGTGCGGGGCGAGAGGGGGGTCGGTGTGATGCGCCACCGATCTTGGCGGGCCCCATCTTTCCCCTTGTCCTCGTCCTCGCATGGCGAGGGGGCCTCGCGCGAGGCGCGGCAGGGAAAAAGGCCCACCGGGTCACATCCGTCAATCTGACGCCGGGGCCCGGCCGCGGCGGGGCTGGCGGCTGGATGGCGTGCGCGTAAGCACCCCTCATCAGCATGCTCTGGGACTGACGCGACGTGAAACAGCCGGCCCCGCAGGCCTGCCGGGCCCGGCCCCGCGGTGCAGGCTTGGGTAGGCTTTTTTGTGCATCACTGGCGGATGGGAACAACCCGGGCGGCGTCGGCAGCAGCAGCGGCAGCAGCAACGGCAACGGGAACGGGAACGGGAACGGGGGGGCGGGGGGGGGGGCGCAAAGGACGCCTGGCATGGTGGGAGCTTCGATTGTCAATCGGGCAGGGGCGGGCAATACGCGCCGGATCTGGGCCCGGCGCATTGTCATGTCGAAGCAGCCGGAGCCGGGCCGCCGGGGCCCCCCTCCCGGTCGGGGCGCCGAAAGGGCGTGACCTTCGAAGGGGGGGGGGAGGAAGGACGGGCCGCGGTGTGGGGCCGGGGAGGGATGCTCGAATCGCCGCCAGATGGGCCGGCGGAGGTCGAATGAGTCACAGAGCGGAGAGAGATATTCCGGCGCCCCATCGCTCTCGGCCCCGCCCCCCGACGCGACCTTCGCATGCCTGGGCTCCCCGCTTCGCGGCTCCGCCCGGCCGGGGGCGGGGGGTTGGGCGAGGGAAGAGCGCGCTGTTGTGATAGGAGGGGCCGGGATGCCGCGCGAGCAGCCCCCCATAAGTGGGCAGCTCGAGGGCACCTCGCGCACGGCTGGCGCCATGGTGTGTCGGCACGCGGGCGACGGCGTGTGAGTCGGATGCCGGCGCGTCGCACGACAGACTGGCGACACGACGGACCTCCGGGGGGGGGGGGGGCGGGCCGGCTGGCCCCGACGCCCCCCTTCGTCCCGCGCCGCCGGAAAGACACCCTCACGCACCGAGGGCATATCTCGCGCCGGGGACCTCTCCACGGGCCGGGCCCCAGGGACTCCCCCCGCCCCCCCCCCCCCCAAGGGGGCAGGCAGGCGACTGACATCGTTCGAGGCGTCTGCGGTTTTTCGTCTCTGCGCCGGCCAGGGCGCGGTCCACAGAGGCTTTGGGCTCCTGGGCCCATGGTCAGTCGGCGTCGCACCTGCTCTCCTTCCGCCCGGGAGCGACCCGGACCAGCCCGGCCCCCTGGCGGCGGTGGCCCCCCCCCGCCCCCCCCCCCCGCAGCGCCCGCTACGACGGGCAAGCTCAGATCACTGTTCCCCCCCCCCCCCGCCCCCCGCGGCACGGGCATCTGATCCGGAGCCGGCGTACGGGGGCGGGGGGATCGACCGCCGAGGGGCAGCACCTGCCAACCCCCAGGGCCGATGTGTCGGCGTCCAGGCGGGCGCGGTCGCGCGGTCTCACGGCGCCCCAGCAGGGTCGGTGCTGATGGATCAGATTTCTGCGTGCTGGCGTCGCGCTGAGGTGGAGTGAGAATGGCGTGCCATGCGTCTTCCCGACGAGTACGGGCGCGCGCGGCATTCGGGAGCACACGGCCCGGGGGAACGCGGCCCAGCCGGCGGCCGGGGGGAGGGGGCGGGGGAAAACGCGCCCCAGACTCGGTCTGCGCTTCTCGCCCGGCGCCCTGGGCCTGTTTTCTCCCCCCGCACAACGGCATGGCCCCGGAGCTCCCCCCCCCCTCCCCCGCGCCTGGCCCCAGGCCGATGGGCCGAAGACAGCCGGAGCCGGGCGAGAAAGCACGCGCAGTGCACCTCAATACGGGGCTTCCGGGTCGAGGCTGCCGTGCAGGTGACGATGATGATGATGATGATGGGGTGATGAGCAATTGGCCCGCCGCGGTGGCCATTTTTCCGGCGGCCTCGGATGTCCCCCGCCGCCCGAGGGTCCCGGCGGCCGTGTTCCCCCGTTCCTGGGGGGCCGGGGAACGAGTGGGTGGGGGCTGCGTTGGTCGGGCGAAGATCTCGGTGGCGGGGGCGCTTGAGGCGTGCTTGGCCATTTGTTCCGGGGGTGGGAATGGGCGCTTCGGCCGAGTTCGGGCCAGAACAGCATATGTTGGCCGTGACTTTATTTTGATTATTTTCCACCCCGTTTGCGGGGTCTCTGCCGGGGCGCCGATCTCATGGCGCACATGCCCGCGGTCAGCCCGCGCAGTTTGTGTTTGAGGGGGGGGGGGGGGGGGGGGCGGGACTCACACCGCCGCTGCTGCCGTTGCTATTGTCTCGTTTTCGCATGAGCACGCACGCGCGTGTATGTGTGTGCCTGAGCAGAGTCCCCTCCTCGGGGGTTGAGGCTGGTGCAGATCTAGCCTACTCCCTGCCTCTCTGCCTGGCCGCCCCGCTCTCGCCCGGTTTATGAGGGCCCCCCACACCCATGTCGACCAACTGCGCGTCTTCATACTCGATTGGGCCTCCTCTGCCTCCTCCCGCCACCCATCTCCCCCGTCTTGCTCCTGTTTTTCCTCCTGTTTTTCCTCCTGTTTTTCCTCCCGTCTTGCTCCTGTCTTCCTCGCCTCCCCCCTCTCATACTGTCTGTCGATGGACGCGGAGAGCAAACCCCTGCTTGGCGTGTCGCATGATGGCCCGACCGACCTCGGGACGGCGACCGGCCTGCCGGCCTATGCGGCCATGGGGTCCGGCCAGATCCAGCACTTGACACCGGCGAATGCCGGCGGTCTTGGCGCCTCCGAGGGCCCGTATCCCGGGTCACCCGGGGCCGGGTCTTCGCGCGGGAACTCCTCCAACACGGATCTCGGCCACACGTATCCCTACTCGGATGGAGATAGCGATGGTGATGGTGATGATGATGATGGTGGTCACCTTTCCGGGGCCAAGGCGACGCCTTGCGCCACGATGTCCGAGCGCGACGCCGCCGGCAAGACCCTCGGCAACACCCTGGTGGACAAGCCCCTGAAGTACCGCCTCCTGGCCCTGGTGTGTAGTTGTTTGCTGAGCGTCGGCAGCCACTATGCCTCGCACATGCTCAGCGCCCTGAAGCCGACGCTCAAGGAGGTGCGTGTGTCGTCTCCCTCGGCCCGTCGCGGCCGTTCGCCCGTGCTTTGGCCACAGCCGGACATCGGGCCACCTGGTCCAGCGATCCTCCTTCTTCGTCTCCGCCCCCTGCCCCCTGCCCCCCCCCCCCCTGTGCCTGCCGCTGGGGCTTTCCCCCTTTCTCAGGAGCTGACCACTTCCATGCCCTCGCCAATCGGCCGGCTGGCCGACATGTCTCGCCCGCGCGCAGGAGCTCGACATCACCAACGCCCAGTTTGGCCTGCTGCAGTCGGCCGTATCGCTGGTGAACACGGTGATCCCCCTGTTTGGGGGCATTTTCATCGACCTGTTCGGCACGACGTGGGGCAGTTTGGCCGCCTCGACATTGATCCTGGTGGGCGAGGCCATCGTGGCCCTGTCTACCATGGCCGTCAGCTTCGAGGTGATGGTCATCGGCCGGGTGATCTACGGCATCGGCGCCGGGTACATTGTCACCGTGCAGGAGGCCATCCTGGCGCACTGGTTCGAGGGCCGGGGCTTGGCCCTGACCATCGGTCTGCAAATTGCCATGTCTCGCTTGGTGCGACAACGATGTCGGCAATTTGCCGCTCCTCCCCTCGGCCCTTCGGCCGGCCTTGGGCGCGAGTCCCTTCTCCCGCTCCCGCTCCCGCTTCTGCCTCTCGGTTGCGGTGCACTGCGCCATGGCTGACAGGTTTTTTTTTCTTCTTTCGCTCCCCCGGGTCGTGTGGCTTCGGCGGCCGTGTGTCCTCCCTTCGCACTTTCGCCAGTCGAGCTTCCTGGCCACCGGGACCGTGGTGCCGATTTCCGAGTCGACCGGCTTTTATGGCAATGCCTTCTGGGTGTCGACCGGCATTTGTCTTTTCTCGTGGCTGGTCAACATTGCCTACATTGTCCTGATGAAGTATGTCCATCGTCTGGACACTGACAAGGAAAAGGTGCGTGCCGCTGCTGCTGCTCCTCCGACGACCCCCCCCCGGCCGGCCCCTATGAGGGGCGGTCGGAGAGCGGCAGGCCGTCATCCGGGCCTGCACGCCTGCCTGCCCTTTTTCCGCCCACTCACACACACTCGGCTGTTGGCCTGTCCTCCTCGTCCAGGAGCTCCAGGAGCGTCTGCGCAAGAAGAACACCTTCCAGGCGCGGGATATGTTGGCCTTCCCGCCGATTTTCTGGTTTGTCATCTTCCTGGCCATCGCCCTCGGTGCCTCGTGGAATCCGTTCATGCATATTTCCGCGTGCGTGTGCCCTTCTTCGCTCCTTCCCCCCCCCCCCCTTTCGATCTCGCTCCCAGCGCCTCTCCTCCTCTCTTTCCGCCGCGCCTCCCCCTGCCCGGTGGGGGGAGTGGTTTTCTCTTCTGGCGCTGACAATCCCACCCATTTTCGCCATGCCCCCCCCTTTTGGGTTTTTTTTTTGGCTGCCGGACACGCAGTGAGCTCGTCCAGCAGCGCTGGGGCAAGTCCGACTCGATTGCCGCCTGGGAGTCCAGCATCCAGCTGGCCATTCCCGTTGTCCTCAGCCCGGTCCTTGGCTACATGGTGGATCACTTTGGCCGGCGATCCTTGATCGGTGCGCGCGCACGCACGTCTCTCTTGTGCTTCCATGTGTCTCTTCGGCGGGGGCCGATGGGGGGCATTTCCCGTGCTCTCCCTCCCTCGCCCCCCTCCCCCTCCCTTGCGCGCGATTCCTTCCATGGCCGGGCGGTGGGGCTCGGCCATTGGCCCTCTTTGCCGGTCCTAACCCTCCCCGGTGGGGTTTCTCCCGTCTGCTCTGTCGGCCTCTGGCCGTGCCGCTGTGGGCCGTCCCTGGTATAGCCATCATCTCGGCGGTTGTCCTTCTGATCGGCTACTCGCTGGTGGGCTTCACCTGTATCTCGCCGCTGGTGGGCCTGGTGCTCTTTTCCTTCTCGCTGTCCCTCGGCCCGGTGGCCATGATCACGGCCATCCCGTTGGTGTTGGATCTGCGCCTGATCGGCACGGCCCTCGGGCTGTACAAGTGCGCCATCAACATCGGGTCGACCCTGCTGGATCCGATCGTCGGCGTGATCCAGGACACCCATGGGGGGACTTACCACCTGGTGATGGTGGTCTTCTGTTGCATCGCCGTGGTGGCCACCATCATCTCGGTGTTGCTGCTGCTGACCAGCCACCTGAAGTATGGGGGGCTGATCGACCTGCCTCGGGCGGTGCTCGAAAGCACCGGCGCCCTGTCCATGAAGAGCTTCCCCTCGATGCCGCTTCTTTCGAAGGTGTGCATCGGGGTCGTGTGTGTCTTCCTGGCCGGCAGCTGGATGGTGTACTTCTTCGTCACCCTCAACGAGCTGTTGGCCGATGGCAGCGGCAGCATCAGCGCCAGTGCCTCGTCCTTGTCCTCGCCACTGGCCGACTTGCTGGCGTTCAGCGTCGGCACGCCGGATTCCTATTATTGCGTGGCCTCTCCGGTGGCCCCCTGATATGGGCATTCCCCTCTTTCTTTTTCTCTCTCTCTCTCTCTCTCTCCCCCCTTGTCCTTGTGTAATCAACCTTTCCCTTTCCGGTGTGCGTGTGTGCGTCCGGCGTGTGGTTGTCCGCTTTGGCTGCCACTTCCCGTGCCGAGGACCCCCCGCCGGTCGAATGCGCAAATACATAGATGCCTTTTCCATGTTGTGTGCGTGTGCGTGTGTGTGTGTCTGTGCGTGTGCTACCTTGCTGGGGGATCATCCAGCGCCAGGACGCCCCGTGTATTTGTTCCAAGTCCCCGACGACACCGCGAGCCCGAAGCAAGTGGGACTGCGAGTGCGGGCCCGGTGGCGGATGTGCTGCGCCACGAGGGGGGCCTCTTCGTTTCTTGGGCCACATCGCCGCGGGGCAGGGGGGGGGGGGGCACAACGGAATGCCCCTCGGGTCTATTGGGTGCAAAGTAACTGGATCGTTAACCGAGCAGGTCACGCACTATGGTCACGCCACCACTCACTGTTTGCCGAGCCTCATCCAGCCTGTATTTGAAGAGCCCCCCGCCGGACTTCGGTGCGAGGGAGGATGAACCGCGGGGGGGGGGGGGGGACGCCTGTGGGTCCCCTGGCTCGGCCCATTCGCGCGGTCGCCCCCTCTCCGGTGAGGGGGCGAGTCATCCGAACTATGCCTCCCGGGACATGTGTGCGTGTGTGCGTGTCTGGGCGGCCCTCTCCGAGCGCCGCCGCCTAGCCACAGGGGAGCCGGCGGGGGAGCCGGCGGGGGAGCCCCGGGCCCGGGAGCGGAGAGGCGGTTGACTGGCTGGGTTTGTTTAGGGTGCGGGGGAGGGGGGGGGGGGGGGGGGGGGCGAGCGCAAGCGGG